GGGGGGGGGAGTGCAGGGAAGAGGGGATTTCAAGAGAGGATGACGGTGAGGTGATGAAAATTGATGACCGTACGATTAGGCATGCAATGAAAGAAATGATTAGACGGGAATTAATGGGGGGGAAATCGGGAAAAAAGAACACTTACCTACACACGAAGGGAAAGTACGCAACGACCAAGACGAGGGAAGGGGGGGAGAGTGACAGCAGAACCAACAACTTCCAACCAGAACGGTTACCCCGTCGTGAGAAATGCAAACGACCGTCTTCACCGGTAATATCCGGCAGAACTTTCGATGCAGACAGCGATAATGAGCACGTGTTCTATTACGTTCTACACGGTGAAGTGATACGAATAATGAGCATGTGTTCTATTACGTTCTACACGGTGAAGTGATACGAAAATAAGAATACCTTCGTCAGTCAAAGCTCTCCAAAACTACGACCGATCTCGCACGCCCACTTTCTTCTTCTCCATCTTCGCCCTTCACACACGACACAAGATATGGCCGACTAACCGCTACCTACTGCCACAGTGACAGCGATCCACGACGATCACGCTCGTACACACCGCAACCCTTATATATATAGCATCCTCTTCCCAGCTCACGCCAACGAAACCGTCCATGTTACGCTGGAAATACTCACACCCCCAACACGCCCATCACGACCTCCCCCTCCCCATAGCGCAACGATTAAAGCCCCCTCCGCGTAGCGACACGAGATGGACCCTTCCCCCCCACGACACAAAACATCGCCAGCCAAGCGATCACGTTGCACCTTCTCTCCATAGTTCCTCTCAACCCCCCAACCCCCCCCCACACACCCCAAATCCTGAACCACCCGCCCTAAACCACCCGGCATGCTTCCGTCGTTCCTGTCAACAAACACACAATGTGAAAGTTCGACGGGTGGTCCTTCGGGACATCCGTTGAAATTGAAACGAACGATAGAGAGAATGAAGATTGGCATTTGGCCCCTGCGCTTTCAAGGATGACATTGCGAAATACCCCCATAAGTTGAGATATGTGCCACAATGCCCCTGAAAGATGTGGGTGAAGCGTAATGCCCCTCTGACAAAAATAAAAATTTGTGAAATACCCCTCGCGTCGGTTGGACCCCTCATCTTTGTGATATACCCCTACAGGGTACCATCCAACGTTGCAAAATACCCCGAACTTGGCAACTTTCCTAAGGCCCAGTTGCAAGAGGCCATGCCCAAACGGCGAGGTCCAGATCGCAAATTTGCACAACTGCCTGACAGGGGCATAACACGAAGATTTCCGACCAAAGGGCATTCCGCTCTACCCACATCTTTCAGGGGCGTTTTGGCATATATCTCAACTTTCGGGGGTATTTCGCAAATTATCCCATCGAGAAATGATCAAAATTCAGTGTAAAATTAAAAAAAAAAAAAAAAAAAAAAAAAGGCTCGACGAGTGACGATGCCGCAATCGACGACGGACTAAACGCCGACGTGAAAGTTCCACGAGCGACGATGCCGACATCCGTTCGCCGACAGTCGAAATCGAATAGACACTGCGAACATGTGAGCATCCGCTCGCTCTGCATTTCCACCCACATGCCCGCCATCGGCGCAAAATTCATTTCAAATTCGGCGCGAGAACCCTTTCCAGATGCACCCTACCACGCACACGCAAAAGATACAGTTCCGCCCTTTCGTTTTCCATTTTCTGGCCCGGCCAACAACCGCTACTACCCCTTCGCCGATTCGCCCAAGCAGGAGACCGTAAGCCTATATAGGGGAGGGGAGCCCTTCAAGCATGCTACCCCCCGCCCTAATCGACGGTGGTCAGGAAGTAGGGTGGGGCCGCCGGCTGGGGGGGACCGGCTAAGGCAAAGACCGAGCATTTTGCCAGTAGCTGCGCCCCCCATCTACTTCCCCCACCCCCCATCGGTAGCAGTAGTGGCTATGTATAGGCTTAGGAGTAGTGGTTGGTAGGTAGTGAAAGGTGAAATTGAGAGAAGAATATAGCGAGAGGAGGGAAAAAAAAGGAAACCCTGGACGCCGCACACCAGCGCATTGGAAGGACATTGACAAGGCCCCACCTCCAAGCTCTCCCTCGACCGCTCGGCCGAACGGTCCTTGTAGGGCCGCCCACCACACCCTTCTCTTGTACGTCTCGACACCCCAGCCATCGATATCCCCGAGAAGGCAAGCCACAGGCTGCGTAATAGGGTCAAGATCAAGAGCAACTGAGGATCGCGCTACGCGCGGGGATGCAGCCAGGACAACCTGTCAGGGGAGGACAACAGATTTGGCAGGCTTGGCAAGCAGGCCAGGTCCGTAGTGCAGTGCGTATATGCCAAAACAAACTGAGACAAAAAAAAAACAAAAAAAAACATGACACCAGAATGGTTCTTCCCATAAAAAACAGGCAGATACATGCCCGTATCGGTTCTCTTATGCACGTCCACAACCAGATACATCAACAAAAACGTAGGGTCCCAACACCTAAAACCGCCTGCCCATCTAAATTCCCACATTTCCCCAACCCCATTATACATATATATATCGTCACAAACAGAACTGCCCGGTAAACCGTAGGCAGAGAGAGAGAAGAGGACAACAAACGAGGGGCTGTATATATA